ACATTTTTCGCAGAGCGAATTTCTGTCTACCCAAGCTTCTGGATTCCCAAGAGTGATCGGCGGAATACGTAGATCCGGAGCAAGCAGTAGACGCGCTTTTGGTTGACATTCCCTAAGCTGTTAAATGCATTCCTAGTGCTCGTTTTGTCTTGGTGCTGGGTTCCTGCGGCGTCTCCGTACATGCTCATCGATGACCAACAGCAGTTCCCGAAGCTTGAGAAATGTGCATCCGCGTAGGGTATAGCATAGGTATAACTGCCATGAACGGTGTCCTACAATGGTCAATCCAAGTCCGTTTCGGTTTATGGGGTAACGATATTGTACTGCCAATAGTGATGAGATGCCCAACAGAACCACCTCGGAAAACTGAAATTCCTGGTGCACTGCGAGCGACCCTAGTGGTTGACAAGCTTTGCACCAAGCGGTTCACAGAAGCTGGTTAGTCCGACCGGTGGCAGCTAGCAATAAACTGCAGTGTTCAGTTTCCCAGATAGAAACAAATTGCCCAACGACGCAATAATCTTTGGCGGGAATGCGTAACGTCAAATCTGTTAGCCAGTGGCTTTAGGATTTACGTTAGCCTGAAAATACAAATCAATCTGGAACTGGAAACTAGTCAATTGTAAGCATTTTCGTACCCTCTCGGTTGCCTGTAAACGATGTGGAATCATGGCACTAGAAATATCTGTTAAACTTGTACCGTATTTGCTAGATCGCGCATAGATTACTGCGTTCAGAATTCCCTTCTTGCCTGACGCGTGACATGATGGTTGTGGAACAGGTCATGAGGAGTAGTAATAAATGAACCGAGGGTTTTGGCAGCCGGCCTCTCCTGATAGACCCATCAAGCTAATGTGGTGCTACTTATACTTACACCATCTTCGTGGAGATTTAGTACGTACTTGTCGTATATTAGCGCGGAGATTCCTCATAGAACTATCATGGTTTTATCACACTACACATTTACCTTCACTTTCTGCGCATCCTTTGAATTTGCACATAATCCCAGCTGATTTGTTTTTGTGGATATTCCTTTGTCACGTACAGTGATGTACTTCTGAAACATAGTACTTGGGGACACCGTGTTGCTGCTCAACGAGGGTAATCAAATATCACTATGACGCCATTAACATGCAGCCCCGTTATATACATTTCTCCTCTTCGTTTTTTACGGTTAGCGCTTCAGATCCTTTCTATTTTTATTACTCGTGCTAACTCGTACACAAAGTTTCCGGTACTCAAACATTACATCAGGACAACACTTTGCTCATATTCTGATGGGACGTGCCTGGCGCCGTGCGAATGGGTAGCGCGTCGTTTGCTATTTTATAAAATCTCCCTCTTGAAATTTCTGCCTCCAATTTTGGCTGGGCAGCGTAGTCTGAAGAGACTGAGAGAGAAAAATTTACGCTGTTGCATCAATTATTGATCTAAGATATTTTGGACCTTCGTTAACCGCGTGAGTTCCTTCCAGTATGGCTTCTCTTTGTGTGCTTTATTATCGTATTATTTCACTGTGTTTATGGTAGTAGTTAACGTTGTTGTCTATTCTATGGTTTTAACTGTTTGCGGCAATTAATTAATGTTACTTCGACATACCTGTAGCAATTTGGTCATTCAACCCTACCAACCAACCCAGCATTTTATTAGTTAACACTTGCCCGTTACGTACGCTTCGCGATGACATCGGCGGCTGGCTAAAAATGTGGTGAGCACAGTTGTGGCGTTGAGGTGAAAGAGGGAATCCAGTTCGACAAATGTTTGTTATGGTACCAGAATAATTGCCCTAAGTTAGGCCGTGATTCTATTGTTCTTTATGCCCGACGTCCCAATTAAAGTGATTGCTTCCGCTGTGTGAGCTTAGCAGATACTAGTTCTCGCTGGGTACATGACCGGCCTTTTGACCCGAGTACTTATGTCTCAGCTACACCTGATTCAGCTGTTAGGAACTGTGTGCATAGGCAAGAAATTGCGATAAATTTGCGGCGTGAGCAGAGCTTGACACTTGTGACAATGCGTTCAAAAGTCGAGGAGCTTCACTCATTGGGTGGTTACTTGCGAAATGCAGAACTGGCTATGGGTAGAAAACGCCACGTTCTGCTCTACAATAGGTAGGATCCAGTCATACGGGAAGCTAACTTTCGAGAGGAACTAGATAGAAGGCGAGGGCACAACATGCTCCGCATAGCCGGAATACCGTTATACGTCGGTAGCAAACGAGTACATCGTGTTGGCAGCTGAAGAGGAACAGGTACTCTTCGCCAACAAGGTTAGGCAAGGCCTATCCTGTTTGCGCTTACTAACGCTGTGCGCCGGGGCCTACAACTTAAGAGGGTTGCGTTGGTATCAAGTCAGACGAATGGTCGGTATCAGATAACACCAGACACGCTAACTTCAAAGGCTACTGTCCTTCGGATAAGCCGGTTATAATGTGCTAATACCAGATTTGCTAACGAATCGGCAGCCTCGCACGCTGAAAATTGCGATAATGAACCTCACATTACGCCAACACCTAAGCAAACGGATAACGACTGCTCTCCTATGGCAAGTGCCCAAAACTGCTCTGGGCGGCACCCCCACAAGACGCCAGTAAGGTAACTTGCAGCCTGCATTTGGTTGTGGGGCAAGTTGCTTTTGATGAAAAGGGGAATCACACCTGCATGGTGGAAGAGGGTAATGAAGATGTGGCAATGAAAAGTAAGATGGGTCGCGCGAAAGCATTCGAAGCCTCATGATAGATAGCAGTGGCACCAAAGTCCATGCTTGGTATGACCATTTCACCAAATGGAAGGAAAAATGAAAACCATGCCACATCTAAACTGGACCATACAGAAAACCCAAGTGCGCTGCTGTCAGGTCGCTTAAGTTAAATGGGGGAAAACCCAGTAGGGAGTTTATTCGGCATGCACGGGCGGGTAAAGCCAACAAAGGGATTATTCCGTAATGTGCCAAAGCTCTTCACAGTGCTGGCCAATTCAACCCTTATGAATCAGCTGGTCCTGACATTATACATCCCGCCATACTTAAGCCGCTGGCTGATATCCATCAGTGTCCTGACACGGAGGTATGCAGAGAGCCTCTGCAAGCAGGCAAGCTGCCACTTGATTGGAAGGGGGCGACAATATTTGCCAACCACAAGTGGTTCTAAGTCGATGCTTCGTAACTAAAGTCCTGCACGTTTGACCAGAGTCAAGCTGAAGTCCTTGGGAACGATTATATGAAATAGGACCTGTGAGCACTTAACTAAGCACAAGCTAATTACAGCGGAACAGCACGGCTTTCTTAAAAGAACTCGTGTATTATAAATTTACTGTGCTGTTTAGATGAGATTACCCGATGTCATGTTAGCAGGATGTCGGTAGAGGTGTGCTATTTGGACTTCAGTGAAGCCTTTGACTCCGTGAATCATCGATTTTTAATTGAGAAGCTGACATGGTTTGGATTGCATCCTCAACTATCACTGTGGCTCTCTGAATTCGTACGTGGGAGGACGTGCAGAGTCAGGGTTAGTGAAGCGAGATATGGTGTGGGTCATGCTTACAACAGTGTCCCCAAGTTTCGGTACTGGGTCCATTGTTGTTTCTTATGTTTATAAATGACCCGGCGCCTATTCTTGAAAACCCCGGCTATGCCTTCGCAGGTGACTTAAAGCTAGTCACTAGGGGAAACCGAGCGACATTGGCTAAGGACATAAGCATTGTGGTGAATTGGTCGAGCCAATGGGACCTACCGCCGAATACCAATAAAGGTCTATTATTGGTCAATAGCGACAGCGGAATTGCAGTTCAGTCTTCTGCGGGATCTCTATCATCGCGGTGCATTGACGAAGACCGCGAACTGGGTGTCATCGTAGAGAATAATTTGAGGCCTTCCACACAGTGTCGCCATGCTGCCAATAAAGCACGACAATAGTTATTTCGTCTAAGAAGAGCCCTGAGTAACACTAAAGCTGACGTAATCTTGCCGTTATAGCAAGCAGTGGTTAGGTCACATCTGGAGTGTTGTGTTAAGGCCTGGGCATCTTACCTCCGTAGTGACTCCAGGTGTATAGAAAAAAATTCAGATACTTGCGACCAGGATGATCGAAGGGCAACGAGGGAAGTGGTACGAAGATCGTCTAAGTAGCTTGGGATTTCTGCCTTGGAACTACGTAGGTCGAGAGGGGATTTGGTAGAGACATTTAAGTTTATCAGGGGAATTAGTGGTATTAATCCCAATCGTCTGTTTGAGTTAGCTTGTCAGACCACTTGCGCGGGCATGGCCTAAGTTCAAACAATATCGAGCTCTTTTGGACATTAGGGTAAGTATTTTACGAGCTGAGTAGTTAACACCTGAAGTAAAGTTCCCGCTGCCTTAGTGGAATGTGAGTCTGTACAAGACGTCAAAAGGGGTTTAGATGAGGGCTGGTCTGTCCTTTCTCCAGCGATATTGTAATTGTATTGGAATACGTAGTGTTGTTTGATGCTGGCACATGAACGTGCAAAGATTGCTTTCGTGCTTGCTTCTTTACTTTGTAGAAGCAAGCAGTCAATCCAACTACGAAGGGCAGAGGGCCGCCTCAATTATCGGCACAAGAAACTGGACGTTCGTTAGGCGAAGTCCTTTATCGTCCGTTCTACCTGATCTGGCATGACCCGAACCTTGAGTTGTTAACCAAGGCGTGTTTTGCACTTGCTGATTTGGCGCACACAGCTGGTCAATCATACCACCTAAAATTAAATGAATAAACGCCTTTAGGATGAATAGAACATGTAACTCCCATTTTGTATCTGTCACGATACGCATAAGAAGGAACACTCAAGGGATTATCATATCGTTCAGGTCCCAAATGAACTTGAATTTAAATCCCTACGGTTGACAACCCCCGAAATACCATGGGACATCAATAACAAATAAGACAGTTAAACCAATTTAACTACGAGCCTTTACATATTTTGCACATATACATTTTACACCCAAGGTGTCGCACCAACGAAGTTGTTTTAACTTACCGCTTACTAGGGCATTCAATTAGTGCGCGGGTGTCGACTTATGTTTTTCCTTAGCCAGGTGGCCGGTCCGCAAGCGTCACGGTAACCCAACAGGTAAGAAGTCAGCCACTTTTACTTCCTGTTATCCTTACTCTCTTACTCTTTTCCTTCCCTCTTTTGTGCTTCCTTGTTCTCAGTGTGTCAGAGGTCTTCACAGTGCTGGCCAATTTGAACCCTTATAAATCAGCCGGTCCTGATAGCATACATCCCGCCATAGTTAAGCCTCTGGCTGATATCCTCCATTATCCCGTAGTGGAGTTATTCAACCAGTCTCTTCAAGAAGGCAAGCTGCCACGTGATTGGAAGGAGGGGACTATTGTTGCCATCCACAAGGGGGGTTCTAAGTCGGTGCCTCTTAACTATAGACCTGTTAGTTTGACCAGCATCATGCTGAAATGCTTGGAAAAGCTTATAAGGAACAGGATTTGTGAGCACTTGACTGAGCACAATCTAATTCGCGCGGAAAAGCATGGCTTTCTCAAAAAGAAGTCTTGTCTTACCAATTTATGGTGCTTTTTGGACGAGATTACCCGTTGTCTTGATGGTGGGATATCGGTAGAGGTGTGCTATTTAGACTTCAGTAAAGCCTTTGACTCCGTGAATCATCGATTTTTAATTGAGAAGCTGACATGGTTTGGATTGCATCCTCAACTATTACTATGGCTCTCTGAATTCTTACGTGGAAGGACATTCAGAGTCGGCGTTGGGGAAGCGAGTTCTAGTGTTGGTCATGCCTACAGCGGTGTCCCTCAAGGTTCGGTTCTGGGTCCATTGCTATTTCTTATGTTTATAAATGACCTGGCTCCTCTTCTCGAGGACCCCTGCTACATCTTCGCAGATGACTTGAAGCTAGTCAGTAGGGGTAACCGTGCGACATTGGCTAAGGACATCCTCACTGTGGTGAATTGGTCAAGTCAATGGGACCTACCTCTAAATGCCAACAAATGTCAACTATTGACTAGTAGTGGTAGCGGAATTGCAGTTCAGTCTCCTGTGGGATTTCTATCATTGCGGTGCACTGACGAAGCCCGTGATCTAGGTGTCCTCATAGCGAACAATTTTAAGCCTTCGGCACAGTGTCGCCATTCTGCCAATAAAGCACGACACGAATTATTTCGTCTTAGGAGGGCGCTGAGTAACACTAAAGCAGAAGTATTCTTGCCCTTATATAAAGCAGTGGTCAGGCCACATCTGGAGTATTGTGTTCAGGCCTGGTCTCCGTACCTCCGTAGTGACATCACTTGTATAGAAAAGATTCAAAAACTTGCGACCAGGATGATTGAAGGTCAACGAGGGAAGTCTTATGAAGATCGTCTAAGTAGCTTAGGATTATTTTCCCTGGAACGGCGTAGGTTGAGAGGGGATTTGATAGAGACGTTTAAGATCATTAAGGGACTTAGTGGTATTATTTCCACCCATCTGTTTGAGCTGGCTACGTCAGACCATCTGCGCGGGCATCGCCTGAGGCTTAAACATCACAGAGCTCGTTTGAACATCAGGGCAAGGTTTTTTACGAACCGGGTAGTTAACTACTGGAATAAATTTCCTTCTGATTTAGTGGAGTCTGAGACCGTAGAAGCCTTCAAAAGGGGCTTAGACAATTGTTGGTCCATCCTTTTTCCAGAGATATTGTAGTTGTACTTTAATATGCACTGTATTTTGATGCTCGCATATGAAAGTGCAGAGATTGCTCTTATTCTTGCTTCATTCCTTTGCAGAAGCAAGAAAAGACAATCCAACGTCGAAGTGCCGGGGGTCGCTTCACTTACCGGCGCAAGAACTGGACGCTCGTTAGGCGGAAGCCTCTATCGTCCATCTGACCTGACCTGACCTGCTTCCCTACATCGGCCTCTTACTAGGCGGTTAAGCATTCAACCGTCTACGAGGTATTTATTTTGTGTTGCAGCTCGTCGTAATATCCGGACACGAAAGAGCTCGGAATGCTAGAGCGGAGGAATATTGCATGTTTGGCGACCCTGCCAGTTCACGACATCAGTCTAACAAGCTAGATTGTAGCCCCTGAGACAATAAGTAACTTTTCTGCTATCGTGCTGCTTGTTGTTGAATCTCCCGAGCCTACTATACCTCGCTCAATACCTCTTGCAGATACATAAGTTGATGTTGGTAAGAGCCTTTATGGGCGCTGAGGACAGCGTCTGTTAAGAGGGGGGATAATATAGCCGGTCCGCGGGCGTCACGGTAACATGTTACCAGGTAAGGTAGAGTTATCTTTACATTCCTATTCCTCTTCGGCACATTTCCTTTTCTCTTTCATGCTTCTTTAGCTTCTCCTACGTCGGTCTCTTACTAGGCGGTTGAGCATTCAGCCGTCTACGAGGTATTTATTTTGTTGCAGCTCTAAGGGTCTATTGCGACTCGTCGTAATATTTGGACACGGAAGAGCTTGGAATACCTCAGTCCAGTGCAGTTCAGATGGGACTGGAACGATAGGAGGGTCCCGTGAGTGTTCCATCTTGAGTGGATCGTTGAGCCAGGAATTGATGAAGTGCTCAGTTATTGATGGATTTAAAACGGAACACCCGTATTGCACCCTGGCCAACCAGTTAATGCCCACGTTTCCTGCCCTAGCGGTCCCTGCTGTGGCAGTCACGTGAAGTAAGCAAAGGATAGGAAGAGAAATCGAAGGTACAGAATAAGTGCACTTAAATAAGAAAATAATACCAATGCAGTGGAATATTACAGCTCGTTGCATCTCTGCTCCACTGTGCCCGGTTTCCGCTCAGGCGTTCGACAGATCAGTTACTTGCTTATTCCACTTACTATAAATGACCCACATAGTTCTGGATTTTGTTGGGGGTTAGAATTAGCACGCATATCCAGCTCTAGCTTGAGTGATGCGATACCATTTGTGGTCCAATCCTGTCCGCACAGCTGGACGGCCAGCCGTCCCATTTGGGCGTTTTTGGTCACTCGCAGAGGTAAAAAGTAAATATGAAAATAAATGGCATGGTATGTCCAGATATGTTACTATATACAATTATACATCTTCAATACCGTCGTACTTTGCCTAACGAGCTTCACATTATAGTAAAATCGTATTTTTAGTCAACCCATGTGACCATTTGAACACCCTGAGTTGCCAGGTTTTGTGCCCATAGCCATCCCAACTGGACGCATTCAGGACGAATTTCGGTCATTCAAAAATGTTTTTGGTTAAGCATATTAGCCATAGTATTGCGTAATTACAATTTGGGAATTAGTTTCCCCTTAATGTTTACGGTATGTAAAACCAGGAAAAATGCTTTCACGGTATATGGTAACGGTTCATTGGAAAAGACGGCCGGGGGCACAAAAATTAGTCACAGAGTGAGCTCTAACGGTCACTCCATCGGACACATTTTGATCAGTCTTGCTTTGTGGGTCGTCACTCAGAACCATCGAAGATATCTTAAATGGAATGTGCACGTTTTCTCCGTGGTTTAAAATTGTTTTGAATTATAGGATATCTGTGATGTGTGGGTTTAAAAGTTATATTGACGTTACTCACAGCCTCCTGAATTAAGGTGTAACCCAAACGCTGTATAATCCCATGAGTGTTCTTTACACAGCAAATCGTTAAGCCACAGGCTGGTATAAGATCTTGGTGAACAGAGGTAAAAGCCGCACCTATATTTTAGCGGGAGTGGTCGACTCACGCTGATAAACTTGCCGTATCCATTTGACTTCTGATGCGTACCGTTCCCCATAGTAAACTAGGAGGCATGTAAGTGCCAAGTAGCAGTAGTAGTGCGTCAGCTGCACGCCGTAACGGCGTTTCGCTGCCTTGCGACTACCACCAGTCGCACGCGAGTTGAGTATACCATGAGGACGCCCATCCCTACGCGGATGTAAGTGCCAGGACAAATGTTTGTTGATGGGTGTTTTATTGTCCTCTGTATTTGCTAAACTTGCGACGCAGCTACGTCGCGTGCTAGCTAGGAAAGAATGTTTGGGTACCGCGCGATGGAGCGGCATGGTTTTAGTTCAGGCTGGACTGCAACAAGTTCCCGTGAGTGTTTCTTCTTGAGCGGATCGTTGAGCCAGGAGTTGATAAGGTCTTGACGGATCTAAAACGATACACCCGATTCACCCCCTGGTGCCGTGTCGTGTGACGATCACAAGTAAGATAAACACATCCAACGTACATTACAACATTCTGCATGGAACACCCAAGTGTCTGTCGACTTGATGAGCCAAGTTTCGCAACTGTACAGGAAACTTGAACAAACGGCTGCATTGCGTGCACTACTTTTCAGTGCAAGTGATGTCGCGCCGGCGCCACAAATGGCGGAGACCAGCAAAAGCGCCTCGAGCTTCCGTTATGCGATTCGTGACTTCTTCTGTGATCCCACCGGCACTAATATAGCTGACAACATACTTGAATTTCTCGTCAGCGCAGGATTGGGTCCCTGCCAATCTTGGAGCCGGCCCGTACCTTTATGGATCACAAACCTGCCTTGTAATCTGAGGCCGCGTGTTCGAGCCTGCGAAGGGGGTTGGACCACCCTCGCAGTATTCTTAGTCCATTGCGACTGGTGGTGGTTGCGCGGCAGCGAAGCGTTGGTACTACATACCGACGTACTACTGATGACAAATCTTGGAGAAACACTTCATTTCGAGGGTGCAAAGCGTAACCCGAAACGACTGACAGCCAGAGCTAATTTAGCCAATGCAACTTGGCCCGTTCGGGAACTGTCCTAGATGAACGCAATGTTGTCGGCATCCTCTAAGTCAAGCAGTTGGTCACCTGATAGTACCTCCACATTTTGTAGATCAGGATGGGAGTAAGAGAAAAAGGTGAAAAAGAAAGAAGGGAGGTACCAGCAGTAGCATGTTTTCGCTTATCCGCCCTGCTGTATGCAGCAGATAAGGCGACCCTTGATAAGCTGCGCGACGGCTGATGCAGGGTGGTTTCTGTTTGAAGAAAACGTCATGGTTGCATGTGAGTTGAGATACTGCCAAGGCGCGCAGACCTAGATAGGAGGACGATTATGGCCCTCATCCAAAGCCTTTATCTCAAAAGCCTATCCGCAAGGCAGCGGTGAGGTGGCAAT